ATTTTCAGCAAATAAATGTAAAATGATTTTACACACAGCAGCATTTTGTCAAATATGATCAAAATGAATAATTTTCTCCTGAAGTATAGTTTTATAAAAATAAAATTTATTGAACAAATTACTTGGAACATTTGGTGAACGGAATTGTTACAATGTGGAAATCGATATGCAATTTAGTTTTCAAAGAAATTGAAAGAAAAATTGCAAAATAGCGTTGTGCTCTTGGAAAGTGAAGTGGGATGAGAAGGGATTGAGGTTTGCATATTTTGTAATATCTGTTTTCATGAAATGCTCGCCTCATTGTTCTATCTCAGAAAGGACAAAAATAAGTAAGCTAAATTTGAAATATATTCCACTAGGAACCAAAAGCGTGGAAAGTATACCTCAGTGGAACATTTCACACTATAACCAAGTTCTCAGACTCAGAGTGAGAGAACTGAGAAAACGAATATATCAGACAATCGGCAATTGAAGTCCTGTATACAGCCTCAATTTCTACCGGCTATTTGAAGCACTTTCCTTCTGCGAGAAGTGGTAACAATCGAGTAAGTGAAAACAAGTCAGAAAACCCAGGAGGAACGCCACTCACTTGTGTGCAAAATATGCCCTAATGAATATATCGCAAAATCGAGTGACACATCAGATTAACTCAGTTCATAAGGTGGTGTTTTGTAAATCTTTCAATCAACAATTTACTAATCGATATTGCTTCTTTCAATTGGTCAAACACATCTAATTACCACAGAACCTCCCAGTGCACTGTCTATTCGTATAACGAACAAAGGTTTTCTTAAATAGACAAATACATCATTTATTAAATGAAAATATGAATTGATTAAAGCATTGGGACAGGACTATACTGGTGGAGCACCTTCATAGAATATATCCACTGTGGTCTGTCGACACGGCCTAAAGTCAAAATCATGGACGCCCAGACCAGCGAACTTGTTGGGATTGTTCTTAATGTAGTCTAAACCCCGACCAATTTTCACCACCCAGCCGTTGTTAAATCTGCAAAAAAATGTTATCAAGTAGATGTCAAATGTTCACATAAAGCTACATGTGATCAATGAATAGATAGAGGTTTGACAATCTGAAAATATTAATATTAAACAACATTAGTATCACACACACACACACACACACACACACATTTCAACTTGCGAAACTTTTCTAAGTCAATTAATTGTTTGCTGGGAGCTAATAAATATGACATCTAATGTAAATTTTATTCTACTGAAATATTTTAGTAGAACCGTTTAAAAATGTAGCACCAATTCCGAAAATCCGCCCAGGGCGGTTAAACGGAAAAGTCCATAACATGAGACTTTTATTTTAAAGGGCAAGCTTTATGACATCTATCACTAGTCCCTATTTCATGAAACGATTTTGGAACAAACTAACCGCCCACTCGAATAAGCGTCCATGGTCGACAATACAGAAGTAAAACATTTCATCCCGATGTTACCACTATAAGATTGAATCAAAAAATGTACCGAATTTGTCTATCATGCAGCGAAGTGGAAAATGTCCAGGAGAAGTCGATTTTGTGCCTCCTTAAATCTTCCTTCAGGATTTGAAACTTTTTCAACTGTTCGTGATTTTTCTAAATCAAGCAAAAAAAGAAAGTAAGAGAGCAAGTAGCAGTTAATACAAAGAGATTAATGAAATGAGAAATAAAACACGGTACGAAAACAAATTATAATCGGAATTGCACATCATTTCGATTAACGATTTGAACTATAAGTAAACTTTACTTTAAATCCACCAATAAATGGTATGAATGGAGTTAAGTAATTCCTGTCTAGGTTAATAAAGTAGGTAGATTTATTGTTCCTAAACACTTCTATCTTCAATTATCAATTTTCGTAGTCCTGATTTAAAATCCCAGAGCCATGTGGGTCGCTGAATCCGTTGAAATCATAGAAATTAGTGGTTTTAGGTGATCGGGATTACTTCACATAAAGTAATGCAAACACAAATAAAATATCCTTCAACTACGACAAGGGCGTTGAATAAAAAATATTGTAGGTACGCACACTATGGTTTTTCAGTTACCTCTGAAAACTGCATCATTGTGGACGAATTGACATGGATCAATGCCACTCATTCCAACTTCAGTTATGCATACAAGCACACTTTAACAGCCCAACCTCAAAAGACATTTCGAAATGTGTCTAAACCACATATTATGCAAACTGTTAATTCTCATTTAACGAAGGTGTATTATATCCTTGTAAGACAGACGATTCAATTTGTGATAGCCAGACGTTTCCCGACTTGGGATAGGCTATTTTTTACGAGTATTTCTATCATTATAAAACACCTAATTTTAAAGGATGTTCCAATCACAATTGTTTGAGCATCAAAAATCAGCTAACATGGTCTTTCAAAATTTTTTTACCCGCGAGCATGCTCGTTAGGAATTCAAGATTTACGGTATTAGTGTAAAGAAAGGAACTATAAAGGTAGAAAACCATCAAACAAATAAAAAATAATGTGTACGCTTGTTCAAACTGTTAAATGGTATAAAGATAGGAACCTACATCTGAATCAGATCCTGTTTGAAGGATAATTTGCTGGACTGGAGAGGGCGAAGAGACGATCACTTCACAAAAATGAGAAAAGTTTTCAATCTTAAGACTATGCGTAGGAAATTCGCTCACCTGGAATGAATTTCGAATATACGGATCATCAATATTAACAACTGTAACATTCCCCTCATCAAGGAATCTGTTGAACAATCGACGGTACCCAAAACCAGTATCATCCTCGTTAATGTCAATATGTTCGTGGAATTTCCCGTCTTAAAAACTATTTTTAAGCCTGTTTGTTACCCTTCTGCTTATTCTTTATGCTTTGCTTTATTTCCTCTGCCCGTGTCATATAGGATTCAATTTTTGTCTTTAAATTTGATTTTAGTTTAGAATCTACTACTGAGATAATTACAATAACAAATTACCAACTGAGCATTTTAAACATTTCAATAACAATCCAATGCCTTCTTCATAACAGACTAGTGACTGGGTAAGTTTCCCATCAGTTTCAAGAGTTCGCGCGCGGACTATTATCTCAGATGCTGATGAAATAAGTAAGTCCGTCATTTGTACTACAATAAGCACAATCAGGTAATTAAAATATCGAGTCTTTTGAATAGAATGGTTTATAAATGAAATGTAAAAAAATAGGTTAGTAAGCTAAGAATATTTAATTTTAGCTAATAATTATGGAAAATATAAGAAACTTTCTCATTCAATAAATCGAAAACCATGCTTTATAGTTCAAACTGAAAAAGAAATCAAATCGGTTTCAGAAAGAGAAAAGTATCCTTTCGTGTTTAATGAAATGTAGTTCGTTTTATCAAAGGAAATCCTTTGGAAAAGTATATGGAGTATGACCTAAATTTGAGAAGCTCTTGAAAAATTGAGCCAATTTATGGGTTATAATATAGACAAAATTAGCTACTCTGACCACCAATTAACCGTTTTTTATTATTTTGAGGAAATAATTCTTTGAAAAATGGGTGTGGGATAGACTTTCCTCCACGTGGTGCACCCTGGGCAACGTATATTCATACGGCAAAAAGTCTATTGATTGGCAGTCGACTTCTCACTTCAAACTACCATCACGTCACTATTTGCCATATTCGACTATTTTCACAGTACTCACCTCACCTTTGTGTTTGTCTTTTGCATCGTTGAAACACTCTTCTGTTCCCCCTTCTCGACTTTTTTTCAATTTGATGTTCTTTCCCCTCTGTGAAGCCTGAAGTCAATTAAAGGGCTAATGATAACCATCAAGACGCCTGCCATTTTATATAAATACGCTTTGAAAATGATTTACTCTAAAACTAAAGGCCTAGATGTTATAGACGTAATTTTCAGAGTACGCATTCTTAATACGTTTAAACCGAGCACCCGAATATTCTCGAGGTTGTTCCTCTGAGAGCAGAGGCCTCTTCAGATGGTCAACCATTAGGACTCATTCAAGTTATCCTAAATTAATCCAATTGGCAACCTAGTTTACTGTGACTATAGTTTCAACAAAGGCTTTACTCGCAATGCCTTCCTTGTTTATATCATTTCGGCAGTTTATGTTTAAGACCCTTTCCAAACAAGATCTTGCCTTAGAAAATACTGAGCATAGGCAGAGTTTATGGGTGCAGCAGTCCGTCACAAATTGAACACGTGTTCCGCATTTGAGTGACTACAACCATCGTCATCAGGTATTTTAATTATGCTGCCAGGCTTTCCAGAGCGATCCGTTTCAATATTCATAGCCTAGCGCAAAAGGTACGATTGGTTAAAATTCTATCATCAATAATATTTTACAACCGGTCCACAGCGGAGACAGCATCGATCCAAATCATAAGAGAAATCTGCAATGCCCGAGTTGGAGACGTTTAATTCGTAAAAAATAAGAGCCACTGAAGAAAACCTAGACAAAATGCATTGCAGTGGCACCCTTTGTGCAACGCAGACTAAATGAAAAACCATCAAAGCAAGAAATATTCTATGAAGGTTCAATTTGAAATGAAAAATAAAATCCTAAAAATACCAGTAGATGTAAACCACAACTTCACAAAGAATTCTGAGTAACATTTTAGGTTGGCTGAAACATAAAATCGAATTACTAAAACTTAAATAATTGCTAAAATAAATGCTCCAAAAATGAAGTCCAGAAACGCAATAAGGCTTATTAATAGCTGCAACCCAGAAACCCGTTAGTACAGTGCAGGGGAAATAATAAATACAATTTTTACAACGTGAACTTAATGGAGATAAAGGCTTCGGTTTGAAATTCTAATATATATTATATCGTACTAGGCACAACAAAATAATTCAAAAATGTGCATGGGCTTCACCGTATCCTTTCTCGTGGTACCACTTAAGAAAAGCTGTTTGGGCAAACGTGTAAACGACAGCAAGTGCAAAGCCATGTGGTAATCGATTGAAGAAGCAACTTTTGCAAATCTGCCAGGGAGTTTTATAAATTCGAGGAGAAAAAACCCATACGTAATTTCTACAATAAGGCAGGTTAAATCAATAATTTGATCTATACCTGACCCAAGGATCTTTCAAACCAAGTTCTTGAAGTCGTTTAACATGCCGAACAGCAATCGGATGTTCGACCTTGTAATCTTGCCAGTTTGGTTTTGTCCATTTGAAATGAGCACCGGAATAATTGCTATGAGGAGATGGAAAATTTGTTATATAAAGTTAGTAACGCCTCCATAAATCAATAAATGATACAAATACAGCATTTATTTGGCAATAAATCTCACATATTCGAAAGATGCATCTTGAGCTAGTTAGCTCGAATATGGCGCCAGCGTAAGAGATTATATAAATATTATTGAAAATCAACCAGCTACTTATTTCTAAATCTTTTGTATATTTATTTGATTAAAACTTGTTTGTTAAATACTACTATTTAAAGTGCTTTTTTGATTCTTTGAATAAATAGAATAACTTTTTTAATTTTTCATTCCTTATACAAGTAACAGATCCTTCCTGTTTATCAAGATCCATTTATTGTTTCGAAGTTCCGTACCTGACAGGTCATACAAGGCGTTTTTGTTCAGAACTTCTTTTTCTTCAACGTATCTTTTAACAGCACCATCATTGCGGGCAACATTAATGTCGTTACAGTCACTGAGACTTTTCATTGCAATGTAATTGGCTGTAACACATTAGCAGAAGTGCATTCTAGATCCCGCATTTACGTTACTCGATTTTAAACGAAACTTAGTTGGTGTAAGAAACTCAGCTGTCAAAGCTATTTCAAGAAAACGGTAAAGCGAGATTAAAAAAATTGTAGGATGGTAAGACACAAACATAGTTTGACCATAATTTTTCATGTCATCCCCATGGGTCTAGTGTACAAATTTTCTGATGTCGAAATCGGGCAAATTAAGACATATTTGTGTTCCCATAACCACACACATAATCGGTGTCGACGGTCGGCTTGTCAAATGGACAGAAAAGTAATATTTTGAGCTCTCTCGTCGAGGTACTAGTATCGTAACAATAAGGGTAATTAAAATGTCCCATGCATACTGACGCGGTCGGTATTTTACCTTACAAGGTGATCATAAACCACTTATCATTATCTTCTTATCGAAGAAGTATTTGGGTTTATAACGCAAGCCGACTTCGGCGTTGATCGACTACTCTTATCTGCTATGATTTCGGAATAGAATTCCAGAACATCTAAAATCAGAAATGCTCTATGACAAAGAAATACACATTTTATACGTTGCTGTGGGCATGCTCCCAACAACTACAAATGAAAAAAATACAAAAGCTGACGATTTCGTCCTATGGAAAGCCAGGAAGCACGTTCGTGCAGGATGGAAAAAATTCCCACTTCAACACTTATATTGACCACGTAATAACTTGGTGATGATTAACTCATGTAAATTGTTTCTAGATCGTGCCACAACCGACAGTTTCATAGCAAACATCTGTGCTCGTTTTCCATGGAATCTAATCCACTTATATTTGCATACTAGCCTGTAATTGACAAATACATAGACCCAGTTGTCCATAGAAGTTCTATATGACAGCAATCGGCTAAGTGCCTTATAGATGAACATGTAGATAGTACCCCACACCCCGTCGTAGTAAATTCACATCTAGTGGTAATGAAACAGAAATGCCATTTTTCTTCCAAACCAAGTGATGCAGTGTAAATAAAGAAATCACTGGAATAATGGCTTTAACAGGTCAAGAGAAATTAGTTCAATTCCAATTTCTTAAAAAACATCGTTTAGGTGGTCATGGCTTAAACTCTAAAAAATACACTAATAATGAACGGATGACACAAGGACAGCAAACTACATCATTTCATTCGATTCCCACTATTTCAATTGACCCCTATTCCCCTTCCGAATACCTTATCCTACTCCTCCATTCCTTTCCTCTAATTCCTTCATAATAGTTCATCCCAGCTTTATAGTTTTCAATTTTGTTAATAGACAAAACAGTTTGCCTCGGTTTTACGAGAGGATACTTAAATAAATTTTCCCTGATTTAGAAATGAGCTTCATTATCCGATTAAAGCTAAATAAGATTCTTTATCTTCAGACAAAGGACTGTAATACCCTCATTTAATTAAACTCGAGTCACTGACTGGTAACAGCCAATAGAATGACGCATTACAATTTCATAATCTACCGAAGTCATTGCCTAATTTTATCTAATGCAACGGAAATTAGGTTACTGAAAGCTTGCGTATCGTATAACAAATAAAAATAAAGTTAAGAACAAAATAAAGGAAATAAGCCTATATATATATGGACGCATATGTACAAGAATAAAAAGATAACCTCATTTACACGTTGTTTTCATTTGCTCGAGAATATTTGAGCGATGAGCATCAGAAAAATAGGATACGACTTCCGGAAACATGAAATCAACGGCCTTCGGTAATTTTAAATAACGAATTTTTCGCCCTTTGCTCGCACGAGTGTCCACATCCCCTTTCGCTTTTCTATAAAAAGATTATAGAAGGAATAAAAAACTTGCTTTGCAGCTTTTTTATCTTGACATTCCACAAAATCCATACGCCTTTTCAAAGATGGGCCATGAGTTTCTTTTTCAACTGAACTGCAGTAAAAAACGAAATTAAAAGACGTTTAAATATTGGTAAACTAAAACATAACATACGCGTCAAAAATTGGAACATTATTGTCGACTTGTACAGAACCCTCTACGCCAAAACCATCCATATTCACAATGCGTCTCGTCTAATGTAGCGCCCCATAAGGCATGCAGTTAAACGATTCACTGTAACTATTAGTTTTTGTCATAGTGTTTTGAATTTACACATTATATACAATATTAAATTTCCCATCTGTATGTCATATTTATTACACCGCTAAAATTGAGCTGCTTTATCAAATAGAATTTGTCATTTGGATTTTGTTAGGATCCAGGAAACTAACGATTATCATTCATTCATCAATATTCATTTATCATTTTAATGCTAACATATTTACACATATTTTTAAGTTCAATATTTTGAAAAATAGCTTTGCCAAAATTAACTGTATCAGAATGATATTTTCAATAGTGCTGAAAATTACGACTAAACTAAATTGGATTTGATCACGAGAATACATCTACGAATAAATTATATTGACATGGTTACTGGTTAAATTAATTCAAACCAAATTCAAATAATTAACAATTTAATTCCTTTTAAACGACATCACATCGTACTTGATAAACCAAAAGATATGGATTCTCTTTTATTATATATCTCTTCAAAAGAACTGAAAACCTTGTTTAGCCATGTCAGATTGATTTTGTTAAGCAATTAAATACAGTAACTTTCATTTCAGATCGTAATAGAACTGGCATATTTCGGGATCGTTTTTTATCAAATGGCAGGCTTTTTGATATTTATCATTAGCCTTTAAACTTTGACTTCAGCTTCATATATATATATATATATATATATATATATATATATATATATATATATANTCTCTCAGTAGCTGATAGAGCTTTCTACATTCGTTTATCTCAGCTGTTTTGGGTGGCACTCTGCTTCCAATTGAGTTTATTGCTGACTGTGAGTCCGAAAGTATCACCGCTTTGGTGAATTTCGTACCTAGGCAACATAATTGGATTAGTGCTATTCTATCCTAATGTTGATAACCATTTCATTGTTGTCGCACCAGTTTGCTAGTAGTTTAAGTGCACAATTTAGGCCACTTTCTGTCCTCTCCTGACCGTTTTCCTTAGGGGCAGAATACCATAGAACAAGATCATCTGCGTAAAGTAAGCACTTGATGCCCGTGACTGTCTGTACCAATTCGGC